CTAACATTTCCAATTCGATCTTGGGCTTTCACCTAGCATGGATCTTTGGTTCCGTTCGTGATTGTCCCACTCTGTGATTACAGACAAAACTGGTAGATTTTATTTAGAGCATAGATATTCACCAAGGTCTGTCTTTATGTTTTATTTTGCAATTTATAAAACCCTCCATATCAGTATAAGATTTATTTAATCGGGAATGGAGATTATCGTAGAAGAGCATTGTCATGCCAGCACTGGAGCAAATAATTATGCAATAACTAAAAATTACTCTAACACTGATTTCCAAAGTTAAACCTTATGCTCAGTGCAATTTGCTTTTGAGGGTATAATTTTGAAAAAAGGTTTCTTTCAAAGCCAATTAAAAGTTCAGTAGAAATATTAGCAAAAATATTATAAGGTTTTGAAGTCTCCATGACTTCATCTTCACATAATGATTGGTGGTATTTCATGTTTGAAGATAATTTTCAAATATTACATTAAGTCATAGTTTTACAACTGAACTTGTGCTTCGGATTTCTCCTTTACCTTTTGTTTCTGTATTTCATTTCTGTTCAAGTATTGCATCCGTTGGTGTAACTTTGAGATTAACAATAGTTTGGCCTCCATAAAACAGGTTTTCTTTTTGATTTGGGTTCTGTTATTCTTAAAGTATTACAATTGTCACTTTATATCCTTCAACCATTCCTCTCATGTTTAGTTGTCGATTAATCACATTAACGTTTCACCTAGATTTTTTTTCAATAATCCATTGACAACAGTTTGTCTATACTTTGTATTGCTCCAGCTAGGACATTATCAAGAAAAAAAAAATTTCTCACATATATAGAAGTATTTCTTATGAGAAGTCAAGTAATATCAAAAGAGACCAAAAATACCTTTAAACTAATGAATGAAGACAAAGATAGGAAACATTTTTATTGAAACATGCTAGTCAGTTAAATAATCTTGACCAAAATACATTTCTAAGTAATGTTATCGTGCCACAAATTAAAAAGTTTAAAAGAGTCCATTTTTACATTGTTAAAAGGGTGCATTCTGATTTTTTTACAGATGTCATATTTGAGAAAATATATTTATTATTGATTGGCATGCTTTCATTTCCTAGACCAAGGCGCAATATATGACATCACAATATTTAAGGATGGAAAAATGGATTCATATTGGAATTAAGTTTGAAATGAGCTATTAAATTTGTATATCTTAAAGAGTTTAAGAAAATGAAATATTATGCAGATAAACACTACAGTATTATGCTTAGATAAGTTATACTTCTTAGAATACTGTAGATAAGATTTAGTTTTGAAAGTTACACTTAAAATAATTTAAAATAAATAAACTATACCTTAAAGGGGGGATAAACAAGTGATTATTACACACCTTAAGATGGTTTCAGTTAAGATTCAGCCAGGGCTTGAAATAACGACTGGCCAGTTTCTTAGTCATGATAACCGGGCAAATTAGTCTAAGCTCAGTCATACCTCGTTTTTGGGGTAACATTACTAGTCAAATGA